CCCGTGGCTTCCTTCTGGGAGCGCTTCCTGCAGCCCGGGGGGGCCTGGCGGCACCAGGTGAGCGAGGGATCACGGGGACGCGGGCCTGGCCCTGCCGCTCCCGGCCTGGCCCCGTCGCCCCGGGCCTGACGCGCGTCCCTGTGTCCCGCAGGTGCACAAGGCCTGCCAGACCACTGGCTTCGTCCTGACGCGGGTCCTGGTCCCCGCTTGGGTCATCCTCTACTACCTGAAGTACCACGTCATGGTGCGTGCGGCCCCTCGGAAGGGCATTGGGGAGAAAAGGGAGCTTGGGGAGAGTGAGGGGAGTCTGGGTTGGACCCTGGAAGAAGCTCTTGTGGAGAGGGGGTGCTGATACAAGGCACAAAGGGTTGTAGGAAGCTGCTGGTGAAGTGTCTGCAGTCCCAAGTAACAAGTGATAGGACGAGAGAGTTGCACTAGGGGAGGGTTAGGTGGACTATTAGGAAATATTTATTCACTGAAAGAGTTATCAGGCGCTGAAACAGCCTGCCCAGGGAAGTTGGTAGAGTCACCATCCCTGGAGGCATTTAGAAGACAGGTGGATGAGGTGCTTATGGACATGATTTAGTAGTGGACACATTATGGTTCGACTCAATGACCTTAAAGGCCTTTTCTAACCAAACGAGTCTGTGGCTCCTCATGGTCTGTGCACTCCTGCTTGGGTAGCACAAATAAACATTTTTTGCAGTCTTCTGTGGTCATGACCAGCTTTGACCGTGCTGCCTCCTGTAAGCTTGAAAGCTGAGTTTTAATTGTTGCTTTCTTGGAGGAACATGACTCTGGGAGAAACCAGGCTGGTGGTGTGGGGGAAGGGGAATGGCCGATGCATCGGTAGTGGGACAGCCCTTCCATTTCTACAGCCATCTCTTGCTTAGGAGGTGTAACTTTGTTAGCCTCGGGTATATCTTTAACTAACGGAAAGAACCTGGCTTAATAAGCCTTGTACTCAGTAGAGCTTGTATTTTAGAAGAGTCATCATCTCTGTGTTGGAAATACTTTGTACTTTATCTGTACATAAGCATTAGCTTCTTTATCATCTCTCTCTCTTTTCTCCCCTTCAACTTACAGAAAAACCCACATGGTGTTGTTACGTCAAATCCACGGATATTCCCAGTAAGTCCATTAACCCTTGTTTTACCTTCGAGTTTGGGAAAACGGGCAGAAAAAGGGGTGACCTGGGGAGAAGTACAGGTTTGTGCAGTAGCAGTGCAGGGAGAATTTCTAGAAGGATGAGCTTGGTGCTGTGGGCAGGTTGCCCTGAAGCAGCATGGTTAAGGTATTTTTGAGAAGTTTTTATTTGTGTCCTCAGAGAAGACAGTCCCTGTTTCAGTGGCACCTCCCTCTGTAGCCTTAGACTTTCAAGTACCTGGCTGACAGCATGGACAGAAAACACAAGCGTTCCCTATGGGAATGCAAGCATTTGTTACTGCATGGTAACAGCATCTTTGTGAAGGGTTTTAGGTGTTTGAAGCCTCAGTGTAAGCGTGATTATTAACGCAAGGGATGGCACAGGGGTGGTTCTGCTGCTCCTTGCTGGCAGCAGCAGTGGTTTTCAGGAGTTGGAGGCAGTTTGGTGCTGACCATGTTGGTTCTGGCTGCATGAGCTCGGTCCCAGCTGTCCCTGAAGGTCTCCCACACTGAGGTGTCCCCGGAGAGTTAGAGTCATGGCAACCCTTAGATTTGCAAAGTGGAGAATATCAGATTGTTTGCTCTTCACTGCTGTTTAGACTGCTCCAAGCTGTTGCTCGTTTCTTGGTGTAGCAAGTTGGTGGGCAAATACTCTCATGGTTTAGCTCTGTTTTTTCTGCCAGTTGCAGTGCTATAAATCCAATATACATTTTTAAAACAACAGTCTCAAAATGTTTGGTTGCTATTTTTGTAGCTGAAAAGGTTAAAGCAAGTACAGATTTTTCAGATAATTTGGCTGTGCTGTTATTTCAGCAGCCTGCGAAATGTCGAGTGAATGAGAGTGGTCTGATCAAGTTGTAAGATTTTTTTTTTTTTTTTTTGGTCTGGAAGTGGGGACAGGTACAGCTTCATTGAAGGACTGCGCTGCGTGAAGGGAGGGACTGGGTGCAGGGGAAAATGCTCACTGTGCTCTCTCGTTCCATCAGGGAGACAGAATTTTAGAGACGGGAGAAGTTATGCCACCCCTGAAAGATGAACCCGCTGAGCACCACTGATGGCTAAAAGCTCATTTCCTCCTTTGGTGAACAAGGCGAGACCTGCAGCTGCTTTCTCTCTCCTATAAAGGAGTCTTTATTCTGCATCGCCTCAGCTTCTCTGTTATTTTCTTTCTCCTTATTCCAATCTGTTACAGTTGCTACTTGTACGGTAGTTTCTTTAGTCTTCGGTGAGCATCATTGCTAAGTCCTGGTGATCTCCAACCGCCCCGCCTCAACTGTTTATCTGATCTGGCAGCAAGGCAACGTGGGCCTTATAGTAGTGACAGGATAGATGCTACAGATCCCTGTGGGCTGTGGAAGGGAAGGATGTCCTATCGAGCTCCTGCATGCACCCACAACAGCTGTCCTCTTCCAGCCTAGCAAAACTTCTCCTACCAACCAGTTCCGACAGAGACTTCCAGTGAAAATTAAGCTTCCACATAGGTCATCCCCCTTCTCTGCTACAGGAGGGTAGAAGAAGTGGCACTGCTTCCAAAAATTCTTTTTTTCTTTACCCTTTAGCACTTCCTTCTCTGTCCTCAGCCCTTTCTGAGTTGGGGTCTTCCAGCCCTCACTGGCCCCGCATACCCGGGGCACTTTGTACTGGGGAAGACTGGCTTCTTGGTGAGCAGGGAGTTGGAGCCAATGGTCCTTATGGATCCCTTCCAACTCAAGATATTCTATGGCTCTTAAACATTATGGTGGTTACTGCGGGGATAGAAATGACTAAACCAGCAATCCAAAGGGTAAGCTGAGACACACAAGGGGAGGGGTTGGGCCAGAAGCCCCTCATGGAACCATGTGTAACCAGTGTAACAGGTGTTTGTGAGGTTAAGGCCACAGGCAGGAGCCCTGCTGCTGTCTCTGGGGGCAACCAGACCCCTTGTATCCCCTCTGGTAGGGACTCACACCAACAGGGCCATGGCCAATGCAGGAGTGAAAATTCTCCTGCAGTCAAAGGAGATTAGGGAGGCTGTGGACCCCACATCAGGCACCCATGCTCAGCCAGCAGCCCCCAGGCCTCTGCTGAGCCCGGATGTCCCCCAGACCCTCGCCAAGCCCACAGACATCTCTTTGCCCAGGTAAAAGATAGTTCAGGGTGGGATGGCAACTGGGGAACAACGTGGAGGGGCAGTTGAGGGCAGGAGGATCCTGCAGGTCATTGCTGTGAGGCACTGGAAGGGGGGCATTGGGGAAGCTCGAGGGTCCCTGGGGGGTGAGAGTCAGAGGGGACTGCTGGGGTGCACCAGAGAAGGTAGAGAGTCCAGGAGATGACTAGGGAGTTATTTAGGGGCAGTTATCAGCACAGTAGAGGGGTGAGAAGGTTAGTGGAGGGGCTGTGGGGTTGCAGAGGGGCTGGGTCCTGTGCTTCCTTCCCACAGCCATTGGGGTCCCTGTCACTACCTTGCCCCGGACGTGTCAGTCCCCACAGCGTGGAGTTCCCCGGGAGCGCTTCTCCCCCAGGCTGCTACCCCCTGGAGCAAACCTTCGGCTGCACCAACTTGCTGCTGCTCAGCATGGCCAGCCCCAGTGATGCTGCAGAGGCACAAGGGAAGCTTCTCCTGCCCCAGGGCTGCACACACCAAGCCCACAACCCTGCTGGTGAGTGACTGCTGGGCATGCCTCACCTCCCTGTGGTCCCTTGACACCCCCACCCCACTAATGAGGGACTGGCTGGGGTGCCCCAAGGTCCCAGTGCACACTTCTGCAACTGGGGACTGTGACACCTCTTGAGGACACCCCTGGGATGCTGGATACCCCCAGGGCTCCCAGATTTCCCCAAGGAAGCCCTGACACACCCTCT